CGCTCGAAACCAAAGCCGGCGCAGCAATGATGGTGTGCACGGAGGCCAGTTGAGCTTTCAGTTCTTCAAATGGCTGCTGGAAACAACAAGCAAAAACGCAACACAGGCAGTGCACGTCCTGAAATTCTCAGCTTTCCTGTTTCTTCACTGTGCCTTCTTCCTGTTTGGCTCCCTCTTTTTCCTCGATTTTTCTCTCTCTGTTCGCCGCTGTTTCACGTGTTGCTCTCTTTGTGTTGCGTGCTGCTCCTTTTTTATTCGTCCCATCTGTATTGTACCCCCCTCTATATTACCATTTTGTACGCGCATGCATATATTCTATGTGGAACCTCAATTCACTTGTTTCGTTGTGTGTACAGGAGACACAGAACAGCCGCAACGCGTGGGGGTGCAGTACGAGTGAGCAACAGATTAGGGTTTGGTGTTGCTCTTTTCAGCAACCACTCAAAAGCATCGATGCATAAACTGTACGCTCGGAGTCTTCATATGCAATCTAAGAAACCGTATAACTTAAACAAACACACCAACCATACAAAAAAAGGCAAGCGAAACACACAAGCGAACTACAGAAACAGAATCACAAACAGCAAAGTAAGAGAAGGAAACCACTGAAACGTCTGGTAAATAAGCAGGCAAAACACTTTAATGCGACGGAATGAAACGGAAAGCCGAAACTCAGTACACATGCAGGTAGGCCCAATGCTCAGAGCAGAGGAGCAACGTAACAACTAAGTGAACGCGCTACCCCGAGAAACACCGACAACAAAAACATGTCATCCAATCAGAATACGCACAAACACCTGCAGAGGCTAAGCAAATCATACGATTAACGTAAATCTAACACGATTGAACTAAATCCAGATGCATCCACGGAGCAAACCAAGCATCGTACTGAAACAGACTACTAAGACGAATAGTAAAGCTACACAAACAACTCACCAGTCGCGATAAGATTTCAAAGTCCCCCATCTGCCAATACTTTCGGGCCCTCCACTTCAGCTTGAGTAAAACCCAAAATCGGCGCAGCCGGCCCAAGCTCTTCAGCGTCCGCTTTGCCTGAACAAACAAACCCATGAAGAAATAATACTTGAAATAATGGACAGGTAAAATACAAACATCAATAAACAAATAAATGCATATTAAACCGGAACAAAGGGCAAAATGACAAAAAACCAAAAACACGTTTCAAAAGGCGAACGAACTAGAAAACCAATAACCGAGGAAGCAAAAACACAAATCAAGATTGTATGCACCCCTGTTTCGTTTGAGCCTTGTGAGGCGAAATTGAAATGAAGGAGAATATATAAAAATAAGAGTGCGGGCTTCGTTGGCTATTCATAAGGCAGGTCCCATGTATTAGAACTGACACACGTATCTGTAGTAGGGCTTTGGGGCGAAAGTTTAGGTACGGATCATTTGAAGGATCTCGTTTCTATAAAGCATCATCCTATACTACAGTGTGTTGCTGACATCAATTGACCCGTTAACATAGGCCATAGAACGTGCTCTTTACAATCCATGGGCTCTTCGCAAACAGATAAGAATACTATGAACAAGATATGTGCTCCTTGTAAGCAACATGCAACACTGAACCACCATCAAATCTTCACACAGGAAACAGCGGCAGGCAGCGCATAGCCCCGCTGGACTCACTGCCGAATGCAACATGGGCAAAATGCCTCCCGAGGCAGCAACGATGGTTGGCTGGAGGGCTGCGAGGTCTTCCCCCAGTGTTAGAAATCCCTGCAAACGCAAAAGAATTCTAAACCGTAAATCCTAAACAGGAATGGATAATTCACCGGTGCCGTGCCTGCAGTTCATGCGTTTTGGTTCGCGTGGGGGTTCTTCATCCTCAGTAGCACCTGCTGCTGTGCAGAGGCACTTCGTCGGCCAAGGTGCACCCATGCTACAGATGCAAGAGAAACCAGCAGCAGCAACAACGTCGGTGCCAGTAGCATAAAAAGCAGCTGTGACAGCAGCAGCAGCAATCCCAACAGGACCAGCAGCAGCACAACCAACAGCAACAAAAGCAAGCTACTGCCAAGTTGCTGCCTGAGTTGCTTGCAGTGATC